GAAAGAGAGCTGAAAGAAACGGAAATAATTAACAGCAACTGGGCGCTCTGTGCTGTCCAGGTGGGGCACCCTAAGCCTGGACCCCATTCTTCCCCTTGGGGGTGCTCTCTGACCCTTTCATACTAAACATGGGGTCCAGGAGCTCCAGCATGCTATTGATGGGGTTGGCCACCCTGGGGCTGCCCATGCAGGTCACTGCCACTGTCCAGTGTGCCATCAGGCACCAGAATGGGGTCCTACTGATGCTGAGTGACTTGAATTGTTTATGTAGACATACTGCACACACCCTGTGGGGCTAGACGTCTTCCCCAGCCCCTGGAAGTTGTTATCACTGAATTTTAGATGAATGGACCACAGGACTGGGGCTTGGGCACTGTAGCTCTGTAGTTGATAGGCTGCTGGGCTGGGACTCAAACTCACTCCCAGAGCTCATCCAGGCTCTGGGGTCCTTGGGGGTGGGGAAGAAGCCAGAGCTGTGCTCCCTGGAGACCAATGTATAGCAGTGGCTTCCATGGGGCGGGGTGGGAGGAGTGGGGGAGGGGTGCACAAGGTTTCATGGAGCAAATGGCAATCCATAGGACATTCGTGGCTTCAGGGAGACCGGCAGTGTAAGAATATCCCAGAAGTGGTCGAAGATGATGGCTGTAGACCTCAGGCCCAAGAAGGGAGGGAAGAAGGCTGGGAGAGGCTACTGGCCAAGGGGCAAAAATGCTGTTGTGCCAGTGAATCGAGGCTGGCTGTGGCTGCACAGGTGTCAGGCCTTGTGCTCGGACACTACCTGGGTGACCTCACTGAGCTGTCAATCCACATCTGTGACTCAGAGCTGCCATGCCCACAAGGCACCATTGCTTTCTTCCTGCAGCAACCGCCTCTGTGCAGGCCAGGCTGGAGATGTCCCCTCCAGTAGCTTCCAGGACTGATTGGCTAGTGCATATCCTATGCCCTCCCTTATTCATTCCTTTGCCTCTCAGGTAGTAGTCTGAGAAAGGTACCCCAGGAGCTAAGAAAGGTACCTCAGGGTGAAGCCATCCAAGATGGCAGTCTGGGTTCTGGGTGTGCCTTGGGTGGGGTAATGAGGGCACATGGGTGAGTGGAATGGAGCCAGCCCTTCCCTAAGCTCACCCAGCCCCTCCCATGGCCCCACCTCATCATGGGACTGTGCACAGTCTTGTTTACAGCTAGGGAAACTGAGTTGTAGGCAGGTCAAGAGGCTTATCCATGGTCACCCAGCATGCTGTCATGATCAGTGACAGCCACCTTTAAGCCTGGGGTGGATCAGGGCCTGGGGAGACAGCTTCAGGCAGAGTCTGGGGCTCAAGGCACAAATGGTGAATCCAACTCTCCTATGCCCAGGGTCATTTGGGGCAGGAACACGCTAGGTCCCAGGGCTCCACACTCTGTCAAGGGTCATCCTCAGTCTAGGGAGTGGGGTGGAAGTGGCTGGAGAGATGACGTTTCGAAATCTTTCTGGAATCAAACAAATCTCAGCATCGCTGCCTTGGAGCCAGGTTGGGGGCAGGCCCAGCGCTGGGTGGGGTGGGGTGGGAGCAAAGAATAATTCAGATAGACCTCTGAGTCTCCTCAAGCTCAGTCAGGGAGTGGTCTGCGGGCGGGCCAGGCACGGGGATGTTTCCTTAGAGAACAGAGAAGGCTGCTCCAGGCTGAGGGTGGGGTGGCGAAGGGTGGAGTGCAGAGGGCACTGTTGGGAGGGCTCCCAAGGTGGGGCGGGGTTGTACAGGGAGGAGAGTGCAGTCACAGGGGGGTATGGGAGTGGCAGAGAGCTGGGAAAGGGTTCTTAGCAGGGAGGGAGAAATGGGAGTCAGTGATCACCCTCAGGACTTGAGATGGTCTGGACAGGGAGGGAGGGGCAGGAGGCCCAGGAAGAGTGTGGCAGGTGGTCCAGGTAGGAGGGGAAGAGGATCCAGATGCAGAAGATGGAGGGAGGATTGAGGTGACAGCTAGGTGTGGGAGTGAGAGGCAGGAGCATCCTGGAGCCATCCTGGTGGGCAAGTGTTCACATCCAGAGAGCCAAAGGGGGCCTTGGGCTGGCAGCCGCTGCCTGCTGGAGGGTGGGGAGGAGCTGGCTTGCTCCTAATCTGGAGATCCCAGAGTCCTCCCTCCTCCCAGCCCTAATGGAGCACAGTCCTCCCCCGCCCCTCCCTCATCAGCAGAACAGTGGTGTTGCTCCAGGGTGCAGACACAGGGAGGATCTACTCGCGCCCCCAAGCCACACTTGACAGGCATTAAGAAAAAAACAGCAATACTTGAAACTAATTAAAATAAATTAATTTTAAAAAGAAGAAGAAACAGCGGCAACAACATCGCTTTATCTGCGGCTTAGAGGCTGGGGGTGGGAGCCCGGGGCCGGGTCTCTGAGAAACGAGTGGATTGGGGCCACTCAGGCCTGTCCCCCGGAGGAGCAGCGCTCAGGCCGTCAGATTTTGCCCGCGAAGGTCCCGTCCTTGATCTGCTCAGTCCAGCGCTGCACCTGGAAGGGGGCGGGAGGGAGGCAGGTGCGCCAGCTCAGCTCAGCTCAGCCAAGCCCGCCCTCCTTGCCGATCCGGCCGGCCGGCGCCCTCTTGCCCGCTCACCCAGCTCATGGGGCACAGCGAGTGGAACACGCGAAAGTAATAGTCGCAGGGATTCGTGCTCTTCCCGCGGCGGTTCATGTTCTTCATGCAGCGGTGGTAGTCTGCAGGGCGGGGCGGGTGGTGGCGTGGTCTCGTCCCAGGCCCGCCCCTGGCAGGCTCGGACCTGGGCCAGGCCCCGCCTTTCCGCTGTAGGCGCTTCCTTCTCCAGACTAGGCCCCGCCCCCGCCCTCCCTCACCCGTTTCGTCCAAGACTATCACGTCCCTCTAGACACAGTCCTCGCCCACTGATGACCGGGCCGCGCCTGTCCGTGAAAGGTCCCACTTTCCTTCCAGCCAGGCCCCATCTCTCCTTCACTAGCTAATCTCTACCGCCTCTGTCCCGCCCACCCCGGGCCTATCCCTCCTGTCCCGCCCCCTCCAGGCAAGGCTCCGCCCCTTTCCATTCCAGCCCGCTCGGCCTTCCACCCCAACGGTCCCCACTAAGCGTCCTCAAGAGTTGGAGGTGCGGCCTTCCTTGCCTCCACCGTCTCACTCCACTCCCCCTGCCCTGCCCGCGAGGGCTCACCCAGGAAGTTTTGGTAGCAGTTGCGGGTCTGGTTTTGGTTGGGGAAACGCGGGTCGAAGGGCGGTGTGGGCCATCGTCCCCTGGGGGATTTCTCAATGTCGAACATCCTCTGAGGCGGCAGTTCCTGCGGGGAGGAGGGCCTCCGTGGGGCCCAGGGGATGCCCCTCGCTCAGATCAGCGCCCGGCTGCTGACCCTTACCCCGAAACCCAGCCCCTGATCCCACCATTCTGTCCTCACCGAGCTGATGTCAGCGCCTCACTGGTTCGTCAGTGATTGTGGCTCCGTCGGGGTGCTCCTCGTTTCTGAGTCTCGGGGGTCCCAGCCCAGGAAAAACGACTTCCCAGCCAGATTAGTTGGGACCCCGGAACCCCAGCCAATAGGAGCCGCTGCGCTGCAGAAAACGTTCTGCGGCGCGGGGTGGTGTCGGTGTGGACCCCTCCTCCAGCCTCCCGCGTCCCGCCTCCAGCCCGACGCATCTCCCCAGTCGCCCGCGCGCACACACACGCACCTTAGCTCGACTTTGGCCGAGTCTCGGACTTAGCCTTTTAATCTTTGAGAAGCTGGTTACCCGCGGGCTCTTCCCCGGCCCGCCCCCCGCCCCCAACATAGTAATGTATAGATAACTCTAGTCTCTACCGGAGAAAGAGCTCCCCGCGCCGGCCTGTCCGGCACCGCGCTTCTTACAGTAGAGGCGCACAGCACCTGGGGCCTGCGGGGAAGAGCAAAGAACACGGTGAGGTCTGGTCTCCTAGACTGTCAGTGAAGGCGGCTCCGAAAGTCTCAGAGGGTACCTGGCCAAGCTGGACTTCTGTGGACACTTTGGCGACTGGGGCTGAGTCCCCTGCAGATGCTATTAAAGGTGCTGGGAACTATGTGGGCTGGAGAGAGTAATAATGCACGCTCAGTGAACATGTGTTGGACTGTGTCCTACTATAGGGGCCAGCAAAGCTGAACTGGAATCTGGGTCCCCCACTGCCTCCTCCAGTCGCCCCGTGTTTCTCTGAGGTTTCTCACCCTCCTACATCGCTAACATCAGCCTTACTCTGGATCCTTCACCCCAACATCCAAAGGCACGAATATATTTTCCTCTTGAGAAGCCCCTCTTGAGCCCTCTTCCTACCCAGCTGCCTCTTCAGGTCCCTCTTCCACTTCCGGCAAACTACTTGGACAAAGCTGGTCTCTGACTCCCCTCTTGAGGTATATATGTAGTTGGAAAATACACATCACAGAATTTACCATTGTAACTATTTCAAAGAGTACAATCGAGTGGCATTAATTACATTCAGTGTTGTGCAACCACTACCTCTATCTTGGTCCAGAACACTTTCATCACCCCAAAAGGAAACTCCATACCCATTTAGCAGTCACCGCCCATTCCTCCATCCCTCCCATACCTTGGCAAACACTAACCACTTTTCTGTGTCTACACATTTCAGGTTCTGGACAATTCATACAAATGGTATCATACACTATGCTGCCATTTGTGTCTGGCTTCTCTGGCTGAACATAATGTATTCAAGGGTTGCAGCAAATGATTCCCTGTTTTCTATTCTCCCTTAAGCCTGCCTCATTCAGGCCTTTGTCCCCACCATGGCACCTCCTTGCTGATAACTCCAGAGGTCCTGTCTTCCCCAAGTACCTGGGTGAAGGTGTGAAGACACCCAGTTCCTTCTTCATCTTCTCCACCCTGTTGGCCGTGTCCCTCAAACTCTCAATTTCCAAGAGCTTGGGCAAGAGAATCTCCAAGGACGACCCCATCATGGCCAGGGGGTGCTGGCCTGGCATCCCCATGGTCTCTTGAGATCTCTCGGGCTTTGGGGACACACCTATGTCCTCCCACCTTGTTGAGGGCAGAGGGATAGGGTCCTGGGAGGCTCTGTCCATCTTTGGGCTGCTGGGGGTACATTTTGAGCAGGAGGACACTTTGGAAGGTCCCTTCTGTTCTGAGAGCAGCCCCTCCACCTCTACCTCTGCCCACGGGTGCGAGGTCTCTTCCACCCAAAGATTCGCACTTCCCTTCTCCCAGGGGCCCAACCAGGGCTGCTCCCTCACCACCACCGGTGTCCCCTCCAACACCTGGCTGGGGCTGAGGGGCTCCGTGCCCATTCTTGACATGGGAGACACCTGAGGGGTCAAGAGCCAGGAGGGCAGACTGACCAATTCCGGTCTCAAGGTTGGCTCCTTGGACTTGGCCATGATCATCAGCTTGGCCAGGGTGAGCCCCTCCACTGAGAAAGGCCTGCTGTGCTCCCGTGGGGCTCTCTCCACGGCCAGCTCCTGGGTCGTGACCCACTTCTTCTGCTTTTGTACCTCCTTGGACTTGAAGCCAGTCATGTCCAGGGATTTCCCCTCCTTCATCCTTTGGACCTTGTCCTCCAACTTGCCCTTGCTCTTCAAGCCATCCAAGGTGATCTCCCGGACTTTGCTGATCATGACCTCTTTCGACTCCTTCTTGGTGGTGGTGAAGGGAAGCTCCAGGGATGTTTTATGGGCCCTCAGCTCCACGACCTTTGTCTCCTGGGTGCCCACCAGCACCACTGACTCTCGCTTCCCTTCAAGCTGATTTCTCTCAAGTACATCTCCACCATGACGTCCCATGGGCAACATGCCCAAATTGGCAGGGTCCGATGTCAGCTGGTATTGTGTGGGTGAGGTCAGAGCCTTCTGAGATCGGGTAGATAGGGACAGAGATTTTTGGTTTGGGACAGGAGGGGACATGGTCTTCGGGGGAAGAGCAAGTGCAGGTCGGGCCTTCCGAGATGGGGCAGATATAGCGGGGGCCTTCTGGGCAATAGCTGGTACACCGGGGGTCTTCTTGGATGGGCCAGGTATAGTGGGGGTTTTCCGAGATGGGGCAGGTATGTCTGGTGTCTTGTGGAAAATAGCTGGTACAGTTAAGGCCTTCTGGGATGGGCCAGGTATGACTGGGGCTTTCTGGGGAACAGAAGCTACAATTGGGGTCTTATGGGGAGCAGCGAGTCTAGCTGGGGCCTTCTGGGATGGAGCAGGTACAGCTGAGACCTTCTGGGATTGGTCAAGGATAAACGGAGCCTTCCAAGAGGTGGCAGGGACAGAGGGGGTCTTCTGGGAGGGTGGAGGCCACAGCCTCTGCACAGAGCCCAGGGGCCTGGCCTTTTCTTTGTGCCTGGGGACAGAGGAGTAGGGGGCAGGCAGGTAGAAGTTGGGAGAGTAGGTGGCCTGGCAGAGGGAGTTGGAGGACAAGGTGCTGGATTCAGGGTCTATCAAGTCTTCCACATCCTGTTGCCACAGGTAAGCATCGATGTGGTTAAAGGAGCCCAGCAAGGAAATATCTCGGCTGTCCTCCGAGATACACTGCGAAGGGCTCTCAAATAAACCACCCACAACCACTGCTGGGTCAGATTTAGACAAGCAACACTGAAATAGAGAAAGGTGAGGGGAAGGATGTTAGGGCAGGTGAGCCTCTCAGACACAGACCAGGCCTCCAGCCCTATCATCCCTCAGACCTGGGAGTCTAGGCCCCCAAACCTCTCCTTCAGATCCAGGGTACAGGCCCCCAACCTCTTCCCTCAGACCTCCCCACTAAGATCTAAGAGTTGCCCTCCTGGCCCCAAGTATATAGCTGCCTTGGAAGAGGACGGCATTTGATTGATGGTGTTGGAAACGACGCTGAAGATGGTCCGGATAGTGATGCTGGGCTTCCCTGGGAGAAAGGAGAGCAGCCTGAGCCCTGGGGGAGGGGAGGTTGGAGCTTGGGGCCCTTCACGCAGGCAGAGGGAGGGGTGTGCTCACCAGAAACTTGGAGTTTGGTCTGAGATCTGTGCAGGCTGTGGTCTGAGTGAGACCTGTAGGCACAATATGGTGGGACTTTGGTGATATCCTCATCCTTCTCCAGCTCCTACCCGCGGCAAGGCCCCAAACCTACCTTTTTTCTCTGGATTTCTTTCTAGTGTCAGCCTGCTCCAGCTGTGACCAGATGATAGGCAGGGAGTCGCCTACGGCCTGGGACTTGAATCTGCGCTTGAGGGTCTGGCAGGGGGACCAGGGAGAGCCAGCCGTCAGGAGGCGTAGCCCCTCAGCCCCTCACCCACTGGCCTGCCGGGCCTGCTCACCTTTGCCTTTCTTTTTTTCCGAGTAGTCACCATCTTGTAAGGAAAGGTGGGTTCAACAATCATGACTGGAAAGGGAGGGGACACCTAGGTCAGGGCCCGGATGCTGGGGAGGCACAGGGAGAAGCTGAGACAGACGCGGGGGGCGCGGCTCAGACATGGGGGGAGGTGCCCGCGCTGGAAGCTCCACCCATGCCTGGGGGAGGAGCAGCAGAAATGCAGCAAACCCAGTGGATGACAGAGCCTGCTCACCTGAACGCTTGGTGTGGGACTGGTCCTGTGGGTAGAGAGGGCGCAGTCAGGAACGGCAACCTCTGCCTGGCTCTCACATCTCCATGACTATCTAGCCTCAGACTCCAGGACCCAGACTCCTCCCTCAGACTTAGAAATCCAGGCCTACAACCTCCTTCCTCAGACCGGGGCCCACAGCCTCCAATCTCAGATCCAGGGGTCTGGGCCCTCTACCCCATTCCTAGACTTCAGGTTCTTGGTCCTGACTCCCATTTGAATCTAGAACCATAATGGGCCCCTGGAGTCTGTGGGGCCATGTCCCCACCTGGAGGCGCCAGGTGGAGGCGGGAGGTGCCACCAGAGCCAGGTCCATGGGGGCCGTATTCAGGGTTCTGGGGGCCCAGGCAGTGGCTGGCTCCCGCAGCAAGTGGATGAGATGGACCCAGCGGTCAAACAGGAAGGCGACCTCGCTGTCAGGGGCATCCAGCTCCAGGTAGTAGTAGCGGCCCGTGATCAGGCGCAGCTTCAGACGCCAGGCAGACAAATTGTGGACGTAGAGGTGGACCAGGTCTAGCGGGATCATCCTTGGGGAGGCAGGAGATGGAGGAGGTAGAGCAGGAGAAGGGGGTTGGGGGCAGCAGGGGATGGGGGCATGGAGGCACCTGGTGAGGACGAGGTTGGAGCAGTCCCTGCCCTCGGGGGGCCGAGCGATCAGCAGGAGGTCTGGCAGCACCAGGCCTGGCAAGGAGGCGGCCACACCCATGGTCAGATGGTTGGTTTTGTGGTGTACGTACACGGGGGCCCCTCGGTTGGTCACCTGGGGGTCAGGGAGAGGGGCTGGGACCACTCCTGTCTTCGATGCTCCTGCGGCACCCCTAGATCGAGCCCCTATCCCCTGAGACCCCAGCAGTCCCACATCCCCAGGCCTGGGGTTCTGGCTCTACCCCTCTCTGCCCCCAGGGCGCAGGGAGCTGGGGACCTGCACAAAGTTACTCTCGAACATGGGCAGCGGGCGGAGGGGCAGGTACTCGCCCTTCTGGAGGGTCTTCTGCAGCTGGCCCAGAGTGGGGACCCACTTTGGGGGGCCCGGCAGTGGATCCAGGTGCCTGATGTTACGAAACCGGTTCATGGCAGTTGCAGAAAGGGTAGTTGCCCAGGCACGGAGTCAGGGACCTGGCACCCCACAGCCCACTGGCCCTGGCCCAGGGCTCAGTAGTTCCAGAGCCTGGAACTTCCCCAGGGCCTGGCCATAGCCCTGTGGGTGGTCAGCCTGGTCTGGGGGAGGAGCCTTTGGTGGGGGCTTTGTGACCTCATCGGACACCCAGGGGATTCTTTCTGGGAACTCTCCCGGGGCTGTGGGGTCCCTTCTCCTCCAGGGCCATGGCCTGGAGTCTTGAGAGCTGGGGGTGGGGAGCAAACCAGAAACCTCCCTCCCAGACTCAAACTGATGACAATACAAGGCCCCCCACGGTCTGTCTGGGATGTTGCAAATGGATGGTTAAGCACTGACTGGGTTTCTGACTCTTACAAGTGGAAGTGGGAATAGCCCCTACTTGCCACTAACCCTTCTCAGACCTTGAGTAAGGCCCATACTCCCATGGAGCCTGTGTCCACAGATCGAATGTGTTTGTGTGGGTGGCTACCGTTGCTGTACATTGAGGTATAAAGAAAGGAATACGCTCTTTGCAATGAGCCAGGCCGTTGGCAGAATCACAATTGTCTCTCCCCAGCTGTGTGACCTTGAACAACAGGCACCTCCCCCAGCCTCAATTTCCTTCACCTGTAAAATGGGGTATATTGGAGGATCCATGGGATCATGTAAGTAAAACCCTACACTTAGGGTGTGGCCCAGAGCAGGCACTCAACGAGTGGTCCTTCTTGTCCCCTTCTGAGGGCTTATTTTATGGGGAGGACTGGTATTCTGTCATTCTAAAAATAGTGTTTATTATCTTTTTAAAACGCGTCCTGCAAAATACATGGTCATGGTAGAAATTCTGGAAAATACAAGCGCAAATCATAAAAGTTACCCACGATCCCAACTTCTACATGGAAATGGCCTTTGTCAACCTTTTGGCATAGTTCCTTCTAGGATATTTTTTAATCCATATACAGAGAGAGAAAGAGAAACACAAAATAGGGATCACGCCATGGTTTGCAGCCCGCTTTTTCTGTGTGTGAAGCCGCCTCTGTAGCATAGTTCTTGGTGGCTGGTCATGGCTGTTCCGTTACACTGGCTGTAATTTATTTAACTATCCCCCACTGTCGGACATGTAGGTTGATTTTGAGTTGCTGTTGTGAACACTGCCATCATGAACAACCTTCAGTGTGCAGTTTTGTCTTGCATGAGTACTATCAGTCAGGGTGACCTTCTAGAACCTTCCATTAAATCTTTATTGAGTGCCTACGAAGTGCTGGGCACCAGGTGAGGCTCAGAATTTGTCCCTCAGGGCACTGACAGTCTTCCCTCTGTGGTCATGCCCGCTCAGGATCCCTCTCTCCCCCATCCCCAGGGGCCCCAGCATCCAGCCCCCAGCCCTCAGAGAAACTACCTCTAAGTGGATGTGTATGTCTAATTTAATTCCCCCTTCTCCATCTCACAAAGGTTTTTTACATTTTTGTACAAAAACCCAGGCCTCCTTCCCCACTCCCTCCCCACCCCAACACAAAAAGTAATTGTTTAATAAATAGTATGTGCTCCTGCTCAGGCCCAGAGGAGTGGGGGCACTGTGGCCAGACTTCTTAGAGACCCAAGAATCCAGGGAGGCACTGTGGCCAGACTTCTTAGAGACCCAAGAATCCAGGACCCCAGTTTCTTTCCCCTGGGGATCTCCAAGTTCACCTGCCTCCAACCCACCCCCTGAAATAAATAAGTATAAATAAGGCACAGATGCCCCCACCCAGGTCTCCTGGAGGAACCATCTCTAACTAAGGGAGATAATGGGGACGAGGTCCTCTGGCTGCCATGCCCCCAGTCCCAAAATAAATAAATAAATAAGGTCTGGTGGTGAAGAATGCTGGTGGCTGTGGCTGGTGGCTCACAGCCGAGTCTTGAGCAGCAGCAAACCCCTCACGGCCCAGTCCAGCGTCAGGTGCAGCCCCCCGAGAATGGCGTGGGCTGCCCGGATGCCTCCCCAGGCTGAGGCCGGCGGGGCCAGGGGGGGTGCTGGCGGGTCTGGGGGCGCCTGGGGCAGCGCCAGACGGGACATCTGTTGGGAGAAGAGCGAGGGTTAGTAACAAGCCAGGGATGCAGCGGAGTCCAGGAAAGTGTTTGCAGCCTCTACTGAATCAGGTCATGGAGAGCGGTGCCAGGTGGCATATTTCCAGAGTGTCTTTGGCCTGTGGGATGGGGTGTCTCAGTGGGGAGTTCTTTAGGGTGTTGGATTCAGAAAATGGAGGCTGGGTCCAAAAGGTGGGAGTCTTGAGGCTGGGGTTCCAGGACCAAGTTCAGAAGGTTAATTAATGGCAAGGTCTGTAGGCTCAGGGCTGGGATCCTGGTGCTGGGGAGGACTGGGGCCTCAAGAGTGGGGTCTGAGAACTCAGAGCTGGAATTAGAGGTCCAGGGTCTTTGGGATCAGACCCAGGGGTCACAGGGTCTTGGGTTCTCTAGGGCTCAGATCTAGTCTAATTTCAAGCTCAGGATCTAGGCACTTGGGGTCTGAGGTGTGTGGAGCCAGGGTCTCTAAGCTTTGGGTCAGGGTCTGCCATCTGAGGGCCCGGGGGGTCTCAGGGTCTGGATGTTCAGTTTCCGGGGCTTGGGGGTCTGGAATGCAGTGTCCTGGGCCAGGGTTTCCAGGTCATGGGTGAGGGTTTGAGCTATCAAGTCTTAGGGTTTCAGAGTGGGCATCTTGGGGTCACAGGATCATGAGGTCTCTGAAGTTTGGGGTGAGAAGTGAGAGTTTCCAGGCAGGATTTTGGAGTCTGGGGCCTCAGCGTCTCAAAGCCAAAGGATCTTGGGGACACCAGAGTCTCAGAGCAGAGCTGTCGTACCAGGAGCTGCAGCCGGCGCAGCAGCCGGTCCAACCTGGCCTGCAGGGCCCCCAGCTCAGGCTCCAGGGTCCGCAGGGAAGGGCCTCCTGCCCGGCGCAGCCATTGCACATGCCTCAGGTAGGAAAACAAGTCTGCCCGCAGCCGTGTCAGCACACCGGGGAGCTGGGGGACAAGGCATGGAGGATGTCAGGAGCACCTCGTGCATGCCTGCTCCCACCCCGGTCTTCGTAGACCATCTCTGCTGCCCAGGCCCCACCTTTACCCCATCCCTCTCCCCTGCTCTTACCTGCAAGGCTCCCAGAGCCCCCGCACTCATGGCCAAGGTGGGGAGGGAATCCAAGTTGTGGTCTCCGTCGGCTGGAAATTTGTCTCTCTGGGGAAAAGAAGCTATGAGGGGGCACTCTGACCAGCTCCGAGGGTCTCTTCACTCCCTACAAGCCTCAAACTCCTCCCTCCCTCGATCTCTGCCACCGTGGTAGCCCAGATACCAGCCTCTCCAACCCTCACTTTGTCATTCCCGGTCCGAGGCCCTTGCCTATCCCCTTCAGCCTCTCCTACCAGCTGTGCGGCCAGTTGCCGAGTGTCCGCCAGGAGAGAGCGCGTCAGGAGAACGGCGCTGTCCAGCTCAGCCCGAGGGTCTGCGGAGGCCCTTGGGGGGCCAGGAGGTGGCCCTGGGGCAGCAGCTCTATCTGGCCACAGGCTCAGCGCGACCAGGACCAGGCAGCAAACACCTGGGGGCGGGAGAGGGCGGAGGGCTCAGGGGGACTGGCGGGTCCGAGGCAGGAAGAGTTAGAGGCCTGGACTCCTGGATCTGAGCGAGGAGGGGCTAGGGGTCTAGAGTCCCAAGGCGGAGCACCCAGGGCAGGTCACCGGCCAGAGCGGGCTCCCCTCTCCCTCTCCCGCTTTGGCTGCCCCGCCCGTCGGAGCAGACGCGGCCCGGGGCGGGTAGACGGGCCGGGCGTCTCCCGTCCGCCCCCGGACGCCGGAATCTGGGCCCCGGGGCGGGGCATGAGGGGGAGGCACAGGCCAGAACCTGCTCCCTTCCCCGGGCCCCGGGAGCCCAGGCTGGCCTGAGAGCAGAGAAGGGAGCCCGGTCTGGAGACCCCGAGGCCCTGACGCCTGCCCGGAGACCCCTTCCAGGGTGGGCGGCAGAGGGCTGTCCGCGGAGCGGGATGCCCTGGCACACCTGGGCGGGAGAGTGGGATCCAGCGGCGCTGCGCCCAGGCTTTTGCCGGGGCC